AAGAGACAGTGGAGCAGGTGGAGAAGTTCATGTACATCGGAAATGTATTTACTAGTAATGGAAAATTGGAGGAAGAGACCGACCGGCGAATTGGAGTAGCCAGTGGCGTTCTGCGTGAACTAGCCTGATCCATTGTGACTAAAGCCTAGCTCTGTCTGAAAACTAAGTTCTCGGTGTTCAAGTCGATCTTCATCCCCATGCTTACGAGTGGTGATGAGTCGTGGACCGTCACTGAAAAGCCTTGAACATGTGTGCGAGCTGCTGAAAAGATTTTTCTTAGACGATTCGCTGGCCTTACGCGTCTCAACACGGTCTGGAATAGTGACATCCAGAAGAGCTTTGAAGCACAGCTTCTGCTTCTCCAGATTGAGAAGTCACAGCTGCGATGGTTCGGGCATGTATTGCGAATGCCTAAGCAACTACCGTTTGCCCAGCGATCCGGCACAACAGCCAGGTGACGGCCAAGATTAACTTGGTGCAAGTGTATTGAAGGAGTCTTCTACCGAGTCCTGCTGTCTTCCGCCGAAGCTCAAGGGCTGGCAGTAGATGAGTAGCGTTGAAGGCACTGTCTGCCTTGTCTGCTCTGCCTTCGCGACCCGAAAGGAGAAGCTGTCACGGAAAATGAATGACTGAATGTTTCATGGTAGAAGCCGGTTTTTGAAAAGAAAACATAAACGATAAAATCTGAACGGTGTAATTATAATAAATTCGTGAACCATCTGTCAGATTGGATGGCGCCTACATTTTCAAGGTTTTACATTTTTACATTTACTAGTTTCGTTATCCTGACTTGATTATTTACTAAAGGCTAGTGGATCTGTTGAAAAACTCCAAGCCTCAAGAACGAAACTGGTACAAGTGCAAAGCCGAAGTTATGGGTGTTACCGGTTTTAGTGAGTTGTTTGAGTTATCCACATACCGAAAGGAATTTCTGAAGAAGGGTAACAGAATCCGGTTCGATAAGTCACTAAATTACCTGTGCACGTATTTTGACTACGTTAAACAAGTACGCCGCTGTTGCACGTACTCTGATCTCGATGGCCAACAGTCGCGTCAGCCTAAGCGACTGCCATAATTAACTGCAGGGATACGTTAATTAATAAGCGATTTCATCCACCAATCGAAACCGTCACATAGCCTACCAGCGTCTGCCTATACCTCTGACAATCAAAAGATTGATGAGATTCTCCGGTAGCAACAAACCCTTAAGATTTATGGCTAATAATGTCGAATGATTCACCATAAGAAACAATCGTCATATTTTGGACTCTTCACTCGAGCCACCAAGTTATCTCTTTCTTGCTGTAAGAGGGCGGCGGGTTAGGCCGCTTCGTCATCTGGCTTGGCAGCCATACGCATAGCAGTATTAGATGATTTTTACCCTGACACAAAATTATTCTACGTTTCGCCAAACTCTACTTCTCTCATCCAGCCCATGGACGAGCGAACAATTGCCAGCTTCAAAGATTATCACTTACAGCTATGGGCATTGGCAGCTATGAGCAGAGATCGCGATTTGCCAGACAGTCAGCTAATTAATTAATCAATCAATGAAAAGAGCTGTAAAAGCAAAATGAACAGATGAATAGACACTCGTTAAAAATGAATATAGAAAAAGTGAGAAAATAAAAACAAAAAGTAACAAAGTAGCAGCATCACTGAAGCACTGCTTTACAGATTGACACAGAACTGATGCAAACGACTGTGACAAAACACTGACCACGTGAGGGACGGCTTAAGCAAGGTTGAGTGAAGCCATATCCTGACATTCAACACTGTACAACATGCTTTTGTGGAATAAAGACACCATCGAAATAGGGCTTCACGTGATAGGTTTGCAACAAGGCAGTAACCCATACATGCTTAAAATTCGACCCGTCTTTATCGATTGATACTTTATGAGACCAGGCATCGATGCCTGAGGGTGTGTATACAAAATTCAGATTTCTAAGCTGTATAGTTTGAAACTTTGCGGAAAACCAAGCAGCACGTAATTGACTAGCCATAACTACCATGTTG